TACCCCCTTGGGAATCAATTGCTGACTACATCCGGGACAGCATGGAACCAACATTGGTTGTGAGTCCTTTGGTGCAATTTGGGACTATCATGGGCGAGAATTTCCCTGGTTTTCATGTCATCTACTGCGATGGCTCCCGCCTGCCCAGCCAGGAATCCAGTGCTTGTGGCATTTATATACCTTCACAAGATAGAGCCATATCTTGGCGTCTGCACCCGGGGAGCAGTGTGTTGACCGCTGAGCTCACCGCCATATACCATTCACTAGTTATTATTGAATGTGACTCACATCCCAACTGGGTCATTTGCTCTGACTCTCGCTCAGCTCTGCTTCTCCTGCAGACACAAAAGGGCTTCCACAGCAGGCGCTCATTAGTGGCCTACCGAATCCGGGAGAAGCTCTGGAGACTTAATGCAAATAGACAAGTTATACTACAATGGGTGAAGGCCCATGCTGGAATTCGTGGAAATGAACTGGCTGACAGAGCGGCCAAGTTGGGACATGAGCTGAATCATAGCTCGCTCCATCCAGTTGAGTACACCGATAGAAGATACTGGCTGAACAGACAATTCCTTGCGCGTTGGCAGGCCAACTGGCGCCAGTATGTTGCAGATACAGGGAAGGGTCGCCATCTGTTTACTCTCCGCAATGATTTACTCCCTGTCCCCTGGCTGCACACAAGATCTAGACGTGTCTCAGTTGTACTGGCTCGCTTTTGGCTGGGACATGTGGGTGTGAATGCATACATGCATCGCTTCTCCATGTCAGACTCCCCCTTGTGCACCACCTGCAACCAGGATGAAACAATCGAGCATCTTTTACTCGAGTGCAGTCGATACAGTGCAGCGCGACGGAGACTGAAGCACGCCCTCTCTGGCTTAGAAATCCAGACTCTGACCACACGAATATTACTGGGAGGAGGAGACTATCAAAAACAAACACAGCACCTCATAATTAAAGCAGTTGCAGAATTTCTCACAGGCACTGGTCGTTTGGAAACGCTGTGAAAAGACCATTTTTTGGGGCAACCTTGAAAGCAGGGAAACAGCGAGCATCATCCAGGCCATTTAGAAGTAGTTGCTGTTCCACTTGCAAGCCAATGAAACTTGTCTGCTGCTGAGGAAGAGACCCAAGAAAGCCATCAACACTGCCATGTCCAGATGTGACAGTTGGCCCGCAGGAGGTCATCTACACATCTCAAACAAAGCTAACAACAACTTACTAGATATTAAAAGAATATGAAGTTCATTAAAAATTTGGGGAAGTTCTATGCCAAAACTAGAAAGGACGCTTGGAATTTCCTGTTAATATGAGTAATTCTCTACATGTTTTGATAACAATCTAATATTGTCAGATTTTCGAGCGACTCCATTCTCAAAACCCGCCACACATACATCAGACGTTAAACTTTCTTCGTTATTGGAACATTTGTTTACGTATGGAAAATTTCGCGGGTGAATTGGATCAGCGTAGACAGCGCTGACTTGATTCAAAGTTAAAAGTTTAATTTCTCATGAATTTAGACCCTTTTAATAATTAATAGTCTTGCTGGTATTTTTTCGGATAATTTGATATGGTGTTTCATGAATCAAATCAAGATCTAATTTTTTACGACGGTTATAAACGAGGTTATCAGATCTTGATTCCCTAGCCTAGGGCCTAGGCTACTGTGCTACAGTCAGACCGCTTAACAAGTAACGCTGTACTGCTGTAGTAAAGATTCGGTACCTAAGAGACTAAGATTGACTTGTACCTATTAAACCTAAATTCTAATTTCTAGGTAATAGTCAATTCCTTCCATCTGTTTTCATTCTTATATTTAAGAACAAAGCCTTTATTTCTATGTTGTTATTTCAATTTATCTCAATTTCTGAAATTTCTTTTTTCTGAAGATTTCTAATTTCTTCAACTTGTAAATACAACCTGTAATTTGTAAATATGTATAATGCATATTAATTCAGTCAGGTTCAGTGAGGTTCCTGATCTTGAATTGATTGATAGCTAGTACCTACATGTGTTAGGCTTAACACATGATTACTGTTACCTAGGTATTATCATTACAGCAAGTGGAACTGTGGATTGTGGAAGGGTTCTTTTTATGGTGTTATTTTAAATCAATTGTTTACGTAGGTACAATGATTGTCCAAGGACCCTACCTCTGAGCTAGTATGGAATATATCTACTTGGCGAGCCGTGACTGAATTTTTCGAGCCGTGGTTTTATGGATTTGCCAGCCGTGATTCCATTTCTACAATGTTTGCGAAGTGCAAACCGCGATTTTTTAATCGAACAAAAATTTATGACATTCGAGCCGCGAGATTTCATACCTACTGAAATTATATGATATTAGAGCCGCGAGATTTCATACCTACTGAAATTATATGATATTAGAGCCGCGATATTTCAGACAAAAATAGGACTTTTCCAGACTAGCCTCTGAGTTCTGACCTCATTTGAAGAACAACATGTAACAAGCCATTACCAACATACCTGTCAGCTGTCGATATGCTTCAGAGTTTAGCAAATTGAACAGAACTTCAAAATTTGACTAGGGTAAACGCGGTATATTCCGAAACTTTAAGGATATAGCAAGAAATGAATGGCTATAAAAAATACACTGTACGCACAAATCGAGTTCTGTTTGCTTTACGTCACTCTCAAAACACCGCACTACGTGCCAGCCCATGGTCAGGAAGATGTGCCAGGTGCGTGGGAATTTTTTTTTGTCATTTTAATGACCTGCGCGGTGCGCCGTACAATGCTGGTAAAAAAATGCGCCGTGCGCCGTACTTTAGAAAGCTAAAATAGTTCTACTATTTTAGTCGACAATATACGCGAGTATATTGACTACACGAGTCGAACTGACAATAATAAAATGTAAGAGATGTCCGGGTTATATATAGTCAGATGGGGTAAGACAGGACCGAAATCACTAACGAGCATGTAGCATCTATAACACAAATAACTAAAAAATCCTAAACCTATCACAAGGTGTGGTTATGCAATGGGCTTCAAAGCTACAACTCAGACTTTTTGCATACAACACAGTTTTCTGTACAGATTAAAAAAAGTGAGCTGGTCCCATCTTACCCCATTGGGGTAAGATGGGATCAGGCTGGGGTAAGAAAGGACCAACAGGTAATTCTTATGTTACAAGGTTTTTAATAAAAGTACAAATCTGATATTCAATATTATCCATCTAGAAACACATTATTTGATTAAACAACCACTTGTTACTGTTTTGTGTTGCAGGAAGTTGACTATAATATCAGTCACATTGGAGTTTTTGCCACGAGAAAACTTTGTTAAGCATAGAAATAGTAGGTTGGCCTTGATTCATTGTAGAGCACTGCCAAATGCTACATGTATATTCCATTAGTGTCATTGTCTGAAAATTTATCAAATTGGTGATAAAACCTATAGATAATAACTTAAAAGTCGGACGTCATGCATTTTCTTGCTAACTGCATTTGTGGTGCACTTCTTCAAACATAGCCCATGCCCTCTCACAAAATTGTGATAATTATTTTTTATGTTTCACACAATGATTTTTCCCCCAACCACTCTTTCACATTGTTCTGCAGCTCACTAATAGGAAGAGACATCCCTTTTTGCTCCATCCCCATGATGCAATTTACAATAGTATGCTAAATTTATCTAATTAAAAAAGCTAACAAGTTAGAGTGGTTATTTTAAGCAAGAGATGAAAATTTTGACCAAAATACTCCATGTATCCTTATGCACAATAATATATTCATTTAAAAGCTATTTTTGATAAGCTATGGGGTAAAAGAGGACCATTTGTGGCAATTGTGGGGTAAGACAGGACCACTTGTGGGGTAAAACAGAATCATTTAGTGGTCCTGTCTTACCCCATGTCCGGTCCTTTTTTACCCCATTTTAGAATAGTTGTCAGGCAGTGATGATAGCAGGTAGGAATGCCTAGTGTATCTCAAAAGTTGCTTGTTACTTGAGGTTACTTGCCTACATCCACAAACCTGGCCAAAAAATTTTTTGTATTCATACACAACTTATTTCCCAAACAGGGTTAACTATTTTGTGACCCTTCTTTACATAGGTTTTCTTTGAAAATTAACCAAAAATTAATTATTTGCAGAAGAGGGTTGAAACAAACGCTGAAATGACAGGCAATGATTGCTCTAACATATTCTTTTGTCAAATTAAATTCAGTACAATTAGAATGCATACAATGGGCCGGTCCTTTCTTACCCCATGAAGGCTGCGATCCTGTCTTACCCCATTTGACTATACTTCTGACTCTTCTGCTCCGCTTGTCGGATACGGAACGTACGGTAATCGTAAACTGCGGCTATTAAACATACGAAATGTAAACAGATGGTGTTCAGTGTTGCCATATGACTTTGGAGAAAATTTCTTCTAAAATAAAGTTCTAGATTTCTCATTCACCAAATTTCCGTATCAAGAAAAATCATATATTATTGAAAGATAATTAAAGGCATACTGTACTGACTACTGAGTAATGTGAGTATTACATCTGTTCCTCCACAAACTGCTCGTACGCAGCAGCGCAACATAGAATTGATGGCCGGGATTGCGTGAACACATGCGCCAAGAGAATCAATTTTCATTACATTGCGCCAACTGTGCACAGCAACCACTATGCAGAGGGTGGATGCAGCATTGCCAATATATGGATTTTCAAGCCCAAAGCGTCGCCGGCCATTTTAAAGATGCGTCGCCGGGTAATTTTTAATGAAAAGCCATTTATGCTGAGTAATGAAAAACTATTCACAAGCCACAAACTTATTTAAAAGGTTGCATGCACGTTTTACCCCAAATAACTAGTTTTACCCTAAAAACAGTCCGATTGTACAGCAAGTGTCAACTGAACATGTAATAATGCAGTCTGACCGCTCTAATGTGACCGCAACTACGTAATCATAAACTTGATGTCTACATTTTTTTGGAGGGAACTCATCGCAACTGATTTCCGGACAAGCTTCACATGCATCCTGATCCGTCCAACATATCGGAAACCTTACTTTTTTCAAAATAGTTGGCCAAAGACTGAGAAATGTATTAAATGCAAGAATTTCAATCTAAATGTGTCGGCAAGATCTTCTGAAGGCGAAAATTTTGCTACAGAAGCGTCGCCAAAGATCTTGCAATATTCATCCACTCTCTGCACAGTGGCACAGCAATAGCTTAAAAAAAGTGAAAATGCGCGGGAAAATTCACCAAAAACATACATCATCCTGAGTGTGGGCACCAGCAACAATGAAACTTCACAAAATGTGAGCCTTTAGAATGAAAACCTACCAAATCTATATATTCCGACACTTTGTGACTAGAAATTTGTCATTTTGCAAGACTAATTCCTGCCACGCTTCAAACTCTACTAATTCATAATGCCAACACTCTTGTGTTTGAATTCTGATCACTGTGTGAGGCTCTGTGAGCTGTATTGGAATACAACGCAGCTTGGAATTAGAACACTATTGAATATTGAACACTACTTAATTAGGCTTTTAATTAAGAGCTATTAAGCTTTTAATTAAGAAAATTTTAATTTTTGCGCACAGCTTGGAACGAGCTGAGCATGTCTAATTCCAAGCTGTGTCGGAATTAGTTTTTGTGTCTAAAACCGTCTCTTAACTTAATTATCTATTAATTTTTTACCACCTGAAATCAGCAAATACAAGTGTACTTAAAGGATTTCTAATATATTCACAGTATCACAGATGTATTAAAAAGTCTCAAACCATGATATTCTTTCTACACAAACAGTTTATCACTATTCAGTGAGCAATGTCAACTATCAACTTTGACACATTTTTCGATGTTGTCACTGGGTGCTAGTATGGAATATATCTACTTGGATTTGTTTATTTGTTTACATTACGATGTTTATGTTTTTTCTGCAAGATATTTTTGGCGGAAACGGTAAAGCAATGCGGACTGCGGAAGTTGAAAATTTTATGAAATGACATGTTTGCGAAGTGCAAACCGCGATTTTTTAATCAAACAAAAATTTATGACATTCGAGCCGCGATATTTCATACCTACCTACTGAAATTATATGATATTAGAGCCGTGATATTTCAGACAAAAATAGGACTTTTCCAGACTAGACTGGGTGATGCGCACTGTCTCTCTTTCTATCTCAATATTTCCCCGCCAGACGGCCCAGACCTAGTGTTTTGGCAATAGTATGGCGCGCAAAAGTATGACGTCACTATTTCAACCATCAACGAATGCATGGAACTAAGAAAAAGCTTAATATAAAGGAAAAAAGTCGAGAAGTGTTGGAATTACCCACAATGTCGGAATATACTGCGTTTACCCTAACTGAATGCATTGACAAGAATGCTCTGTCATTTTTCCAAAAGTTCAAGTAATATTTTGATCAATAAATTTATATTGCAGTGATATATTTACTAGTTCTTTTTATTGTGCTTTCAAATCAGGAAGCTTCTGTGAATCACCCTGTATAATGGTAATCTTGAGGTTCCAAAAATGGCAGGAAAGCTCTAGCTGTGGCCAGAAAAAAAAAAATATTCCATGCCTGTGGCAAAGTTAGAGGCATTGATGATGGACTCTTGACTCTGTCATACACGGGCCGCATAGTGAAATTCTAGGAAGGGAGGTACTTCTGGCACTCCGCCTTTGGTCGAGCACTCCGGCAATTGGCAACTTGCGGTGGTCTAGACTCAGCCCGGTCTAAACCCAGCTTGGTCTCTCCTAGACCCCAGTGGAGTTTCAAAATTGATTTTTATAAAAAATAAGAATTGAACTGTAAAACTGCTTAATGACTTCCCTTGATTGGACTTGCAAAATGCCATCAATGATTGAAAAAATGACAATAACTTACTTTCATTGGTTGCCAAGTCATCTTTCTGGGCCCAGGCTTCCCTGACTTTCATCCTTGGTTTCTCTTTCAAGCTTTATGATTCATGCTATTGTTGGAAAAGAATGTTGATAATATACAACAGTCAAAAATTTGCACAAATCGCAACTCCCTCTAGAAATATGTGGAGTTTCTAAATTGATATAAATAAATCATTAAAGATTCGAACAGGGAAATTCCTTAGTTGATTATGTTGGTTCCAAAATGATATCAATGATTTATAAAATGACTTGCTTACTAACTTGATCATCGGTCAAGCCTCAGCCATGTTTTTAGCTCCTGAGAGGCTGAGTTCAGTCCTTTCTTTCACTTTTACCTCGTAACTCATGATGTTAGAGCTTTGGTGTTCAAATGTTGACAATATTGTAAATATCACACTCAAAATTATTCACAATTGAAAATATTTTACAATATCACAATCAAAAACGTTATTCACAAATAAACATCGATCGCAATGCAAAATTGCTTCCATGCAATGTGTACAAGGCTTTGTTTACATATATCTGGATTGGCAGAGCCTGCGGTGACGTCACACATCAACACATATGAACACGTGGTCGCCTGTGCTGTCAAACAATTGAATATTTTTCTGCACCACAAATAAATAAACCTAAATAATTAGTAATGGAAAATATGTTGCTGGAACACTTTGAGAGACCCTGCCTAAGCAGAATTCCATATTATTATATTATTAGTCATCATACTAGACAATAAAGTAGTTCATTTGATTGCCGCTGCTGGCACTGGCGTCTGTATGTGAACCTTATGTGTGTAATTTTAATTCAACATGGAATTATGGAGATACAACTTCTATGATAAATTTTAATCATAAACATTTACCTAATGCAAGAAATTAGCAATCAATAATTCAAGGTAATTTTGTTAGTTTTGTACCAACCAAATACTACATTAAATACGTATTGGCAACTTGGACTGAAAGGACTCTCCCTTATTAAAAATGTGCTGCAATCAGCTGTGCCAACAGAAGCTGCGCGAAGCATGATTCGTTGGTCATTTTTTTAAATGAAATTGAAAGCTTGGTTTCAAGTCCATTGGACTAGGACCGTAAATTTTAGCCTAAAACCTATTCAAAGCTTACACTTATGCATGGATCATTCTGTATATTTATGAAATTCGTTCGCACGAAAATTAGAGCATGCACATATATGCGGTTTACTGCTATAGACGATACTTTCCAGCAGCTATGAATGAAAAAAGAAATAGGAAAAACCAAATTTATCGATTTTTTTTATCCAGACGCTACCCTTAAATTGCATAGAAATTTGTATTAATTTAATAAAAAAATTAGCATCATTAAACAGTATACCCAGATTGGGTATTACCTCTTCATAGTATAATTTTTAGTTGTAAATAATTTATATTGATTCATTGATGTACACATAATTTTATCTATGCTCCTACAAAGCATTGTGCTTTGGGATTGGAGTGCTCGCTGCCAGCCGTTGATAGTTTGTAGCATATTGCACGGTTGCCAAAGGCACTCTTATGGAGTTTCTTCCTGTTAAATATTAATTGCTTTCTCGGATCTCCTATAATTGAATAAACAAGTACATATGAGCAGAGTGATACTTACAATGCTAATAAGTTATAATGGTTATTTTTTATTACTGCAATTAATACAGTTCATGACCATTTCTTATGAATTAAGTCCATAGGAACTGCATTGCTTATTTTTTGGTTTGGATAATCCGTAGGCATTTAAGAAAGCTCAGAGTGCTATTCTTCTTATGACTTTCCTCTAGCCATCTCATTGGGCGGACTGCTTTGAAACTTCAACCAATCAGCCGCGGAGCGCCGACCAGCCGCAGCCTGCAGCACGCTGCAGCCCGCAGTGGTTGAGTAGAATTTGTGGTGGAAGGTGTAGTGACCTTGACGCTCCAATTATGACAGAGTGCTCCAATTTCCCAAAAGCTCATGTTCTTTTATTTATACTATAGAATGCCACCACGTACTCGGGGTGCTTTCTGTATCCTAATTAGAAAATTGGGCAGAAGCCACCCATGAATGAGACAAAATCTCCCATGATTGCAAAAAAAATTTGCTTGATCCTATTGTTTTCCTAAATTTCTTTCGTGAAAAATAAGAGTATTGGTCCATTTTTGCCTATAATTTTATCTTGTGACACTGAAATAATTATTTTATATGCAAATTTTGTGAAATTCTGGTAGCTCTAAATTGATCAATTTATTTATAAAATATCCTGTTAGCCTGTGACTCATTAGCTCAGTATGGTGCATTTTCAGAAATGGTGGCAAGCTGGAAAGCTCTTGCCGAGGCTTGGAAATACATCCCATGCTTGGCTATGCATATGTTGAATAATTGCAATGTTAAATGCATGAAAAAAATGTTTAGTACTAATAAAAAAATTTTAACCCTCAGAATTGGATATAAGAAAAAATAAAAATATTACCATATGAAAAACTATGAAAACATTATATCATTATTTTTTTTATCATTATTTTGCATTATTAACTTGAATATTGAGCATCTTGAAAGAAGGCAAAGCCTAGGCCAGCAGGGAAAATATCTATCTAATCTCCATCTCCTAACCAAATTACAAGAGCTATGAGTTTTGACTTTGTTTATTTCTATTTTGAAATAATATAGAGAAATTTCAAACTTTTACATTATTTTTGACATGTGAATCTATTTTCTGAACTATTGAAAGTAAGTTTTAAATAGAAAATATATTTGCACAAATTTCTTAATATATATGTAATTCTCAAAAGTTGGAAAATTAAGGTCTTGAGGGTACTAAGGGTCAATGAAGGCTTTGTCAGCTTACAATTTTGGTAAGTTTGTACAATAAAGAAAAATGATGTGCCAATTGAAGATGAATTTATGAAATTTTCCAAGCATTCAACTTTAGAAAAGATAATCTAAATGAAATATTTGTTGTCATTGAAAAAAGCTCTTGCTTCATTACTTGTTTTCACCTCAATTTTGGTAACCCTCAACAAAACACATCTATGCAAGAAAACAAAACTTGATCTTAAACAAGGTGCTGTTGTTATGATTTAAAATTACATTATTTCTATATTCCAGTTGCCAAATGGTTAAAATCATCAACACTGTATCTTCATTATCTTGTCTCGCTCCTGATACTTCAGCTAAGGTTCAGTTTTTAATAGAAAATGAGGGTTCTTCTATTATTATTCATTATAGGCAAAGCAAGAAGTTGTTGTCATAATTACAATACCGTAGTTGTATATATTGGGTTCTATCATCACATTTAGAAACAAAGTATGAAATGTATATAAACAGTCTTGGAGATTTCTTTTTGTTATCATTTAGAATTGCTCGTAAATATATAGTTTGATGACTTATCCATAAAAGTTCCCTGTTTTTTGCTAACTTTTATATATGTAGTGCTTTATTTAAACTAATAAATAGTTACTGCCACAATCTGAACATCTTGTAAAATCGATATTTGTTCAACCTTTATTTATTCTTCCTTACCACTGTTCAAAAAGATCACCTCCAGTCTAGGTATGATTTTCACAAGTTATCATTCACAACCTATAGAACTTGTACCAAAACTTAATAGTAGTTAGAATGACTGGAATTGGACCATCCCCGGGTGGTGCTCAGCTTGTTCACTCAAGACTCAGCCTTACAGGAGGAAACAGGCGCAGCATTGGCTCCTCTGGGCTTGCTGCCACTCCTGCCATCCAGAACAAGGGGGATGAGTCTGCCAGTGCCTATCTGGCATTACAGGTCAATGAAACTTCTCTTTAAAAATACAAATAAATCCTTCTGTGCCTTTATATATTTACCTTCCAAGTCTGATTTCCAAAAATAAATAAAGCTGTTTTTTGACTTGAATTTTGTCACCATAAGTTAGCTGTTTTATCGTATTCCTTTCCAGTCATTTTTTTTGTACAAGTTGGGTTATTGAAGATATTCTTTTAGGATGACGAGGAAGAGCGCCGCCAGCGTCAGTTATCCCGGCTGCAGCAGTTGCAACAGTCCCGCACACATGGCAGCCCAGGTGCAGATGGCACCCCAAGCGGCAAGGACAAGAGACGCAGTGTATCGTCCCTGGAGCCCAGGCTAACTGGACAGCAGCTTGCCTTGCACTACACCAAGTGCATCCAACTCAGTGCTGAGAATGTGAGAAGTTGCTTAATTATTGATTAATATCTGGTCCTTTTCAGGGATTGAATATTGGCTTATTATTCTAATAATCCAGTTTATTCTGCAAGACTACGCGGGAAGATGAATTACAATTTTTTCAATTTGGCAAGTGCCCTTTAATTGTAATAAAATTCTATTAACGTAGAATAGTACTGACAGTTGTGACAATTTTATTTGTATTTACTTGAGTATTTTATGTACAGTTTTATTGTTTGTACTTGACACCTCAACTGCTTGGCTATGTCTGCATTTTATACTTGATAGTAATTTAGTGGAATTTATCTCTCAGACTTTATTTACCTGAGTATTTATTTTCTCTTACTCACTTTTTAATATCTTATTACAGAAAATCAACATCAAAAATGCCTTCAATCTGCAGCTCATTGACTTCATGACCGACATGCTTAAGAAGAAGCATTCTGACATGAACAACTTTCAGGTGACAAACTACAGCATTTTTTCTTGATCTCTGCATCAGGATATCTAAATATATCTCTGAACTTTGAAAATTCAACATTGTTCATTACAGTCAAGCAGATGATTTATTTTTCCTCATTATAAGTTCAATTGCACAAATTTCTTTTTTCTTCTTATGTTTATCTGAACAACTATCTCAAATTCGATGTCTATATTGACATCTAACCTAAAATTTCTGTTCCTCTAGTTTGCTGTTCATGAGTCAAGTAACATATATCTGAGTTGTTGTATTGATGTAGTGATCAGAAGGTGAAACTGTTCAGGTGGCAAGCTGCACACTGGATGCCAGCACCAAGATCTATGCGTACCGAGTGGACAGCGTACACACGGACACCATGCGCATGGCGGGCGGGTTGGGCCGCACTCAGCATGATGCTGGTCATGCTCCTGAAGATGTTGATGGCGACCAGCCTGGGGAACAGATCGGCAAAATTAAAAGAAAAAGAGTAGGGCTCATGTCTTATGTCTTGTTTCTCATTTCGGCATCTGCATCTATATTTCAGTAGGGCTTGAAGTATGCCACCACAGTTATTACATAGGAGTCCTTTGTGAAAGATTATCCTAGTGAAGTTAGGCTGATAATTGACCATTTTTAAAAGAAAAGTGTATAGTTGCTTAAAAACAGGGTATTATTATTTTAATGATATTTATAGTACTATCCAGATAATCCTGATCTCGACTTGTTGAATTTATAATTGGAACCAGTTTTAACATTTTACAAATGGTAGGCTGCAGTAATACACGGGATCGAATTATTGTGTCACAAAGACATTACCTTTTTTTTTTGAGAAGGAATAAGTAAGCTTGGAGCCAAACTGCTTTCATCAGACCATTTTGACGCACTTAGAACGATTTGTACCAACTATTGTGTGGTACCATTGATGAAAAATTGGTTCAAAATCTCGGAAAATATTACAAGTTTATAAATAGAAGGCTCTAAAACTGTCTTGATTAATATTTAGGTGTACAATTTATCGCAAAATGAAGCAAATAAGTTTTTACTTTATGTTTCATTGCACACTGTTAATCTTCTGGTGTGAATATATGAGACAATACCTGCAATTTGTTGTAGGAATCTGAGAAACAATGAGCTGTTATAAACGTGTTAATGTGTACTGAACATTGGTAAGTATGCATGCAGGCTGCTTATGAGAGCGACGTCGCCCTGCGTAACACTTTTTCACCTCAAATGTTTCTATTGCAGACGAAGAAGGCCGCCACAATAGAAAGCAACCCCGCCGCCCTCAATTTGTCATCTCTTGACTTGGAATTTATAGTGGACCCACTTTTTAAAAAAATTGCTTCCGAGTTTGATGAGGGCAAGGCTGGTGGTGGGCTCTTCCTCAACGCTTTGATGCTCAGGGTGAGACTCGCCAGTATAGAAGTGCAATTCAATTTATGGTCTAATTGCTGTTACTATAGTGTAGACTTGAACATGTGTCTGGACGCAGCATTATCATGCTTCAAATGGCTTCATTAAAGAATGATGAAGCCAAATCGCTCAATTTTATTCTCATGTTGACATGACATACATGAGAGAGTTTATTTTAAAACTGGCAAACACAAAGAATGCAAGGGTGCCTGAATTAACAAGATTCAGGATAAAAAGGAACGAATTTGCGTCATCTTGGGTATCTTCTAACTTTTCAGCCTGATGAACAAGCCTCATTTTAGTGAAGAAATAACCTTAATTTTTATTGAAGCCATAGGCCTCTTTCTACAGTCAGTTCTCGTGCAGCCTGCTTGTGGCCTGACGTGACTGATTGTAGTTTCTTATAAAACGTGCCGTATAATGAGGATTTTTGTCGCAAGTTATGTCTATTTTATGACACGCGATTGCAAGTTTGATAAATAGAGTAAGTTTTTTAATCCAAGTGTTCTCATAAGTTATTTCATTCTATGAAAATATATTTGTGTCACCACACCTCTATTCTAGTGTCTAAGAGATTTTGTAATGAAGTGTTAAGCTACTTTTCACCCTGTGATTGTTGCAGAATTTTATCTCCAGCCACTGCCGCTCAGAGTATGTTTTTTATTTTCATTACTAAATGCAGCAAACAAGTATAAATTGAATTATCCTGCTTGGCCATGACGATGAATAGGATGCTCTGTTGGCAAGCACATTCAAACGCTAACTTGTAGAATATTGACATAGGCATGTAAGCTGATGAACCTGCTGTGCTGGATCTCCACGCATAGCATGTTTGTCCGGCGCGGCAGTTTTGTCCAGCACGGCAGTTTTGTCCGGCGCGGCAGTTTTGTCCAGCACGGCAGTTTTGTCCGGCGCGGCAGTTTTGTCCGGCGTGGCAGTTTTGTCCGGCGCGGCAGTTTTGCCTGCGCGGCAGTTTTGTCCAGCACGGCAGTTTTGTCCGGCGTGGCAGTGTTGTCCTGCGCGGCAGTTTTGTCCAGCACGGCAGTTTTGCCTGCGCGGCAGTTTTGTCCAGCGTGGCAGTGTTGTCCTGCGCGGCAGTTTTGTCCAGCACGGCAGTTTTGTCCAGCACGGCAATTTTGTCCGGCGTGGCAGTTTTGTCCAGCGTGGCAGTTTTGTCTGGCGTGGCAGTTTTGTCCGGCGTGGCAGTTTTGTCCAGCGTGGCAGTTTTGTCCGGCTGTCTCTTATACACATCTAGATGTGTATAAGAGACAGGTGTGGCACTGCGCCTTGTTACGTCGTGTGGCACAGCGCCTTGTTACGTCGTGTGGCACTGCGCCTTGTTACGTCGTGTGGCACAGCGCTATGTTTCATCCTGCTTCACTGTGCATGTTATTGGTGTGTCACACTGCCAGCATCATCGCTGTTATGCACCACCCAGCAAACGAAATTACTCATCACACATTTGACGCTTGTATGAAATTGCAAACAGGACAAAACTCTCAAGTTGCATTGACAATGTTCAGTTTTCCTGCTCTTCATTATATTTTATGAATTCAGTAATAATTTCTCACACACATATAGTTTGTTGAATTTCGCGTGAGAATATCTTACATTTTTTTCTTTTTAAGCTTGTCAAGTGACCAAGCTACCTAATAAACAATTGTACATGCCCTGACCTTCAAAGCGATAGTACATATGTATTACCAAAGTCTCCACGCTCGCTATTTCAATACCGAAGTTATTGTACATGCCCTGACCTTCAAAGCGTTAGTATTTATTGCCAAAGTCTCCACGCTCGCTATTTCAATACCGAAGTTATTGTACATGCCCTGACCTTCAAAGCGTTAGTATTTATTACAAAAGTCTCCACGCTCGCTATTTCAATACCTAAGTTCAGGACCGAAGTTCATGTCTGGTTGCAGGTCGCAGCACACGCCGCCTGAGTGACGCAAGTGTAGGAGCGGCGCAGGTATTGCGCGCACGTATCTTAGCTACGAGCCTGCTGCCTTCATTGCACGGGCTAATCGACGTTGCAGCATAAATGAAATATGAGATATTTTCAGTTTTTAAATATATTTGCAATGCGAATTTATAATTATTTGAGTTTTTTCTTTTATCAATGAAAAATTCACGGCATATTCCCTTTCAAATTTGTCGCTATATTATTTGCTAAACTATCATACTCTCGAATTAAATTAGTGAACAGCTATCTGATTTGCAATAAGTTTTGAATAAATAATTTTTATAATGTCCTCTTTACTGTTGACTTAAGTGTGTCTCGCGGACGAGCTCACTTGGCGATCTCGCGGCAGAGCTCTGCAGGGTTACAGCTAGGGAGAATGTCTCATTTGTCTCCCTCTCAGCAATGAACGTTGAAGCCTTCATAAAAACGCTACTCAAGAGCTATGCTGCGCTCACTATATATAGATAGTAGCTACTGCCAAACTCCGCCTGCTGTGTGGTGAGAGACGCGATTAATTTCGTCTGTTTCGTCTGTGCGAATGTAGGGCAACTGGTGCTTGTGAAGCTTTAGTCTTTCATGCCATGAGATATTTAATTTTCATAGTGCTTGCTACACCAAAAAATGTTTCATATAAAATGGATTATAGTTTTAAGTCGTGTAATTTTCGGGCAGATGTGACTTTTATTGTTCCAGCGAGGGTTTCTGGGTAATAAGACTGATGCTCCTAAGTGTTTTGAACGATAAGAAGATGTGCTTAATTCTTATAATTTCTAACAGTGAATTATAGACTGCCAATTGGCTCATTAAGTACTGCTTTACGTTTTTAATGGGCGAAACTTTCCTCTGTCATGAATCTTACGTATCCACATTTTAGAATTATTACGAGTCGCTAGGTAACAATTTCTCATGGTTGAACTCGAGGCTGGGATCGTGCGTTAGGGTCATGCCCACGCGTGCGTACCTACTGCGCGCTGCACGCACAGGCGTACTGTACGTGCGCACTTGGTACGTACAGGCGTACTGTGCGCTGTATACGCACAAGGTTCAGCCATTTGTCGTGACACGACCTGACAGCTCTGAGGTCAGAGCCTCGCATCCATGCTGATAGATTATTCATACCAAGGAGCTCGTGGCATCACATTACCGACTTGTTTTATCGGACTGCTTCGTAAACTCCTTTCCATGTCGCTTAAAATGATTCATATGGTTAATTCATCCTAAGTTGTAACATTTTTATATATAGATTTTTAAGAGACTTGTAGGCAAGAAATAGTACGTTGATTTTTGATGCGGGATGCTTCTCCACTTTTTGCTAGCATTTACTTAAAGTCTATTCATCATGGAATCTTTTCTCATTTCTCGGGTCTGAATTATTTTAACATAGGAAAGGTAATTGTTTTTTAATTAATCCAGCTGGGCTCGCGAAATTTAAGTCATTGACATCGGGTTGCGCTTATTTGCAAGGGACGAAAATATTTAGAATTACAATCCTCCGATTAGATTTTATAGTTCATTAGTAAATTGAAGCGCCATATATATAGACGGAACTTAAAAATCTTGCCTATAATAGTCAACTTTTACACTGAGTGCTTCTCAGGAGGAGAGGTAACATTCGGACTTCTGAATTAGAAAAGATGAAGAGCTCGCTGAATCTTTCATTTAACATTTAGCATAAACAAATGATTATTTCTGCTTCGAGTACACAGCAAATCTCACATTAATTTGAAGGCCAATATGACTCAGGATTTTATGTCAGTTAATGTATTCGTCGCCAACTGCGGCGACTGCAGTGCTGCACGTACAGTAGCCCATTTAGCCCGGACACGCGTTATCGTGCGTAATGTTCCCTGGGTCAGGCCCAGCTCTTGAATAGCAAGCCCTATCGCGGCTACCTACCTGCCTATATCCAGTCAGCCATAACAGGAAAGAAATTTTTGCCGAAATTATAAAAAATGATTCAATTAGAGATCACTTTTAAAATGCAATAAATGGTTAATTTAATTTGTCACCTTGTCGGTGCCACTGCCAAAACTTGGTAAATTTGCCTAAAAATCCGTACTATTTATGGAAATCGGATATATTCTACGAGTAGTTATCTGCAGCAAAAACCATAGATGATAAATATTTAGGTGGAAGAAAGCGCCTTTCAGCGCAATTGTTGTAGTCTCTGAGGTAAATCCCTCACTTAGTGAAGAATATTTATAAACATGAAATTTTAAAAGATGACGTAGAATGTATTTTTCCAATGAAAGGAAGCTGCGGTTTATTTAGCCGGAGTAACAGTGTAAAGGTTAGAGGTCAGTTTTCTGCACAGATTGATTATTGATTTTCCCTATCTACCGCGACCTCTTAGGTTTTCAGTTCTAGGTGCTTTGATTCGGAAATATAAGCTATTTAATGATGATTTCTCTGGAGAAACTTGAAAAAGAAATCTAGAAGAGAAATCGTACCTTATTCTAAACATAGACGTAATTTTGCCTTAGAATTTCCAGCAAATAATAACCATTGCTGAGTTCTATTTATTCCAGTCTTCAGTCCAGTCAATCATTTAAATTATAATGTTGTGTTTCTTCGTACTTAAATCAAAACTAAATTGTCCATACTCTGTCCGCACTACATCAACATTATTTTACCGTTATTTTTTCGAGCTGCTATTATTGTTGAACAGAAATAATTATGAACCTCATAAGTACGACGGCTAATCGCAGATTGTCCTCAGATCATCCGGTTAAACTTAAAGCAATGCTTACTTGCCCTTGTGTGTAACCAACTCGTGTTCAAATGATATTTTTTATCATGGCGGAGATAATGGACATATATAATGCTGACACCAGCAGGCCTACCTCGTGTTCAAAAGATATTTTTTATCATGGCAGAGATCATGGACATACATATATAATGCTGACATCAGAGGCCTGCTCTATTGATCTAACACCGTGTCGCTGTCTGAGCGCGTAGACCAGGGTCACTTTTATTGGGCAGGCTTCCAATCTTGGATGACGTCTGAAGAAGTTTAGACTCGATCGTC